TATCACGTGGGTTACGTAATTAACCTAGTGCATTTACCTAAAAGTTCCGGAAATTTCGGTCTGAATGTAAATGGTACTACAATTTGATTCGACTTATCGGAAAATTTTGGAAATAAACGGAACGTCTTGAAAGATAGTCCAAAATTTTCAATCGAAATATCCGAGTGGAGAATATGCTCACAGTTGTTCACCGCCAGCTTGGTGTCTAGTCTATTTCGGTAAACTGGGTGTTTTTGAGTAATTGGTAAATGGCCAGTCTGAGCGGAACTTTACTATCAGGTATTCTTGCTTACCATTTGCCCAACCGTTGACGAACCGGTCACTCCGTGTATATGGTAAACAACCCTAGTCTCTGGGATGTTCTGTGGCATGCTGTTACAATGTTTCTATAGTGTGGCGTTGGTGTAGATATATATATATTGAGTAACGCCTTCATTTATATTCATTCGAGTCATACGACCGCCTCTGCGCCTTCTAAATGAAATACCCAATGACTAAGGGTTTTATATTTTTTCCTATTTCTGTTTACAAGGGTTTAGACGTATTGGCTTTTCATGTTACTGTAGTAATATTACTCTAGCTGATATTCAGGTTTTTTTTTAATTTGTAAGCATAATACTGCACTTTGTGGTTATTATGTAATGGTATATGGAGTTTTCGTTATTACCGGGGCCCAGCCGAAGACTGGCACCGGTCATAAAATGCAGACGGTTTCTGTCGTTTTTTCAACGTTACATTGTTAGGGATATATCGCTGACTGAGATATATCGCTGGCTCGTTACTTTTGCTCGCTGGCTCATTGGAATCTTATCCGCCATTTTGAAAAGCACGAGGCATGGAGGACAGTCAAAAGAAAGATTATAGCTTTTTCTTCCCCAACTTTTACGATGCACTAGTTTATGAGCGAAAATTTAAGAGTGAATATTTGGAGAGACAAATTTACGAGCGATCACTTAAGAGTGAACCTTCCATCGTGAAACNAAACCGATTAACCTGCTGAATAAAAAATGGGGCGACAAAAATCCGCCACGCAGTACACGACTAAAAGAAGAAATATGAAATACCCTTAACAGTGATAACAATCCGCAGGCAGGTGAAAGGGGAGGAGGAGGGAAAGATTTTCCTCGAGATCTGACCGAGTTGATGACGAGGGAGAGAAGAAAGAATTACTAGGAAAATACCTCAATATACTTAGTTAACCCTGACACCGCCCTATAACCTCATTAGGGACTTTAAGATATGGTACGGCTAGCCTGTAGTACGGCGACAGATAATCAAGATCACTTCCGGTGACGTCATGACGTGCGTACCAGTAGGGCTTTCCGGCCGTAGCCTTGCTTTCTACTACGGGGAAAATGCCTGGTTACCGGGGCCCAGCCTAAGGCTGGCACCGGTCATAAAATCTGTCGTTTTTTCAACGTTACATTGTTAGGGATATATCGCTGACTGAGATATATCGCTGGCTCGCTACTTTTGGTCGCTGGCTGATTGAAATCTTATCCGCCATTTTGAAAAGCACGAGGCATGGAGGACTGTCAAGAGAAAGATTATAGCTTTTTGTTCCCCAACGTTTACGATGCACTAGTTTATGAGCGAAAATTTAAGAGTGAATATTTGGAGAGACAAATTTACGAGCGATCACTTAAGAGTGAACCTTCCATCGTGAAACTTATCGAGAATAAGAGCGACTTATCAAAGCCATCTACATCGAGTGAACCTTCCATCGTGAAATTTATCGAGAATCAAAGCGAACACTTATCAAAGCTAACTTTATATCGTCTTAAAAAACGTGCTACAAGGCGATCTAGA